AACCTGGCCTTCCAGATGGGAGTCCCCCGGGAACAACGTCGTTACTTGGGACGTTGGCAGGGGGACAGCATGGCGGATGTTTACACGAGGGAACACCGCTCAGTGGTCCTGTCTATTTGGAAAGAAGTCCTTTCCAAGCCCCAGCCGAATGCCGAGGATGGGGTTCGGTTTGTGCCGGAAGACCTTGATGCCCCCTACTACCAGTTGTCTGAAGAGCCACCCATGGAGGATGAGGTCGCGCAGCTCCCGTTGCTCCGGCGGCCAACGATCCTCCGGAGGAGAAGCGGGCGGATGGCCCCGCCTTTATGGCAACCAACTCCCGGAAAACCGGGTCTCCTCCGGTGTATCGGGTACACTGGTTTGATCGAGGCTACCGCTGCCTGGGTTGTGGTTGGAGGCCCAAGGACTCCAAGAGCTTGACCACTTTCTACGAGCTGGACTATACACCAGGCTACGTCTTCTGTGCTAAGGCGGCGCGAGCCAAACAGCCCCCGGACTGCTTTCGGCTTAGTGTTGTGCCCAAGGACTCCTCCAGCGGGGAACCCTCGCTCGGCGAGTTCCTTGGAATCGGACTCTTGCTTGTCCCCTGGCGAGGAGGCTCCTCCCCGAATGGACGCGAGCCCAGCAGGCTCATCCTCGACGGGATCTAGGTCCACGATCCCTTTCGTGATTGTGCCGCGATAAGTTTCTGGCCTTTGGCCGGTGTGACCGGGAGTCCGGGCGACCCCCCTCTCCCCCCCAGGGGCGGTTGCCACAGGTGCCGATCCTGCCTCGGGTCCCTCGGAATTTTGATCTGATCTGCCACTTCTCGGACCTCGTCGGATTCGGGTGGAAAAGTGCGTCTGCATAACCTGGGGCTTGTGGCTGCACTGTGACTTGTAGAGGAATCCGTGCTTGCACTGATCAACTCGCATGTCATAGGGTCAAGCCAGCAGCCTTTCTTCAGCTTTCTGCTCGGGCCGGCTGCCATTTTGGGTCAGACTCACGACGGGTCTCGGTGTCGCGGGTTGTTGTTCCCGTGGTATCTTTTTCTTGCCCGCCCGCCCTCTCCTGTTTCAGGTGTAAGCCTGGGCTACTACCGCCTGGACCGATGGACAGACCTCGTGCTGAAATCGATGCCAGGCTGCCAGGCAGACCCTGGCACGGCCCCCCGAGCTGTGCCCGGACCCCTACAAGGATGAGGTCATGAAGATCGAGGACAGCGTCCGCCTGGTCCTTGCTCGGCATCAAGTCCCGTGGCTAGTCCTCTTTGTCAAACAAGGATTTGTCACTGCCCAGGACTGGGCAGGCCGGTGGATGAGAAGGAACTCCGAAAAGAAGCTCCCAAGCTGGGCTTCTCACCGGGCCAGAATGGTTATGATGAGCACACCTGCGTCCTCACGGCGATCCGCCTGGAGAACGCGGTCGAACAGTTCAAGCTCCTCAAGAAAAGGAAGCTTGCCGAGGTGGACATTCACTCGGTTGAGGACTACAAAGCGATGATTGGCAGAGGGGGCCGCCAGGAAATGCGGGCAGCCTACTTGTCCAAGTTCGGCACCGAACCGGAGCGGGAGTACGAAGGATCGGACCATATGCTCGGGGTCCTGAAGAGGGTCCTGTATCGGGGGGAGTTCCTCTCAGCTGGATCTCAACAAGGTGGTTGCAAACCACCCCAAGGATGGTGAACTGACTGTGGTCTCTCCGATGACGTCCTTTCGGGAATCGCTCAGGACCCAGGCGCGGGGCTGCCCCTGGCCAGACCAGTGGGTTGCAGGCCTCCGCCAACAACTGGCCAAACGCCTTTCTTCCCGGCTCCAACGACCCGTTTCAGCCGAGGTGCCTGGGCAGCCGTTTGCGTTGGACATCCTCCAGGCTCTGGTGGAGCTGGCGGAGGACCCGGACCGGGACTTCCTCCACCACCTTTATGAAGGGGTCGCCCTTTGGGAGTGGGTATGGCCCTCCAAGCAAGAGCTGGGGAGTGCACCGCGGGATCTGGAGCCCCCGGCTCCCACTACTGCTGACAACTACCCCAGTGCAGAGGTCTTCGAGGACACCATCGAGCAAACTTTCTTGGAGGAGAAGCTCCTGGACATGGTGGCTGGGCCCTTGTCGGAACAGGAGGCGGCGGACCTCTGCGCCTGCGACGTGGCAGAGTTGTGTGTCGGGGCCATGGCGGGCATTCAGGAACTGGACAAGGTCAGGACCATCTTCGACGCCTCGGTCATTGGTGTCAACGACAACATCAGGGCGAACACTGACCAGAAGACCACGGCCCCGACACTCTACGACTTGCTCTTTGCTTGGCTCCATCTGGCGTCGAAGACCTGACCCTTTTCAAGTCGGATGTGAACAAGGCACACCGGAGGATCAAGGTTCTCAAAAAGCACTGGAGGTACATGGTGGCCAAGATCAAGAAGAAGTTCTGGGTCAACAAGGTCGGCACCTATGGTGTGGCCTCGGCTCAACTCTATTGGGGCCGATTGGCAGCCATCCTCACCCGCCTCTCTTACCAGATTTCGGAGGTGTTCCTCTGGGTCCTTGTCTTTGTTGATGATTTCATGGCTGTTATGAAGGAGAGCCTCGGCGAACTGGGGGCTGCTACCCTCATGCTCTTTGTCCTATCTCTTGGCATAAGAATGCCCTTGGCAAGGTCAACCGTTGGTTGGGCTACATGGTGGACATCTCCGAAGGCTCCGTCTGGTTCCCGGAAGAGAAAATGACAGTCCTCCGCCCGGCCCTGTCTAGGTTGGAATCAGGGGAACTGCACACCAGGAAGGAAATCACCTTCTTACTGGGCAAATTGCAGTGGGTTGCTAAAGCCTACCCGCAGGTGAGCTCTCACCTCCAACCGCTCTATGCATGGGAACAAAAACTGGAACGCAAGTGCAAGCCGGGAGACCTTGTACGTTTCCTGGCTACTCTGCTCCTCTCTATCCTGGATGCTGGTCCCTGCGTTCCTCTCCGTCTACAACGCAACACTCCATGCTATGGGAGTAGTGATGCCGGGGAGGACGATGGCCGGGTCGCCATTGGTGGCTGGTTCTCGCCCTCTCTGAACCCGGCCAAGGCGGAGGTATTTTGGTTCTCCATGGACGTGCTGGCCACGCCATGGGCGCAACCCCTCCTGGCGCACACTTCTGCTAAGCGCCGGATCGGGGCTGGAACTCCTGGGTACCCTCATTCTCTTCCTTTTGGCTGCGGAGTCCCTGGGACCCAGCATGGTTGATGCACACCTCCCTCTCACTACGGATAATGAGGGCAATCAATGCCTTTTCTGCCAGCAAGAGATCTTCGAAGAAGTGGCCTTGCTCGGCGCTTTTGATGGAGCTCTCAGCACAGGAGTTCCACAAGGGTGTCTTTGCTCAGGTCACCCATGTTAAGCGGAGCTCAAACACGTGGGCAGGTCAGCTGACTCACTTTGATTTCGAAGGATTCTCCCCCGAAAAGAGGCGGGAAGTCTCCCTGTCCTGGACTCCGAGCTGGATGATCCTGGACAAGCTCCTTGCTTTTAAGTCGGATCAATAGTTCCCGGGCTCCCTCTGTTAGCCCTGATTTGAAACAGGACACGAGTGCCAGGTACGGTTGCCTCAGGTGCCGATTACCGGCACTTTGGGACTGTACGTTTTCGGCGGGACCGTTTCTCTCTCGGGCCCCGGGTCGGCTGTTTTCTCTCGGATCGGATGGGGGGGGTTTTGAAACCCCTCGTTTGATCAAGCCGAGGAGGGGCGGCGTATTTCCGACCGGTCTTCGGACCTGTCTGAGCTATGCCTGCCTCGGGTCCCTCGGAATTTTGATCTGATCTGCCACTTCTCGGACCTCGTCGGATTCGGGGGGAAAAGTGCGTCTGCATAACCTGGGGCTTGTGGCTGCACTGTGACGTGTGTGCGTGTTTTTGGCAAGTTGATCAGGTAGCTTCAGCCGACCTGAAATTGAAAACGCTGTCGGAAAACCAGGCAGGTCGCTTCAGAAACGCAGGCCGCCGAGTGAGAAAACACATTCGGAAACATAGATGACGGATTCAAAAAAGCAACGCGCAGTCATGCTCTTGCTGCTGCTGCTTCTTTCGCTGGTGCGGCCGAGAGGAAAGCAAAGCCGGCAAAGCCCTGCAGAGTGGCAATGGTATTTGAGGTTTACTTCCCAAAGTTTCCGGCAAGGTCTAGGTTTTGCCAATCCATGCAAGAGTCTTTTCGGGTTCGGGGTTTGCCGCCCGGTTTTGTCAACCTTGTGTATTAAAGATTGCAGCCCACGATCTTCTCTCAGTGTTTGCCAGCCAACATTTAGGAGTTTAGGTCTGTAGGCAGGGTGTTCGTTTCTTTTCAGAGCTTAGGGTTTGCCGCCCGCAATCGTCACGATCTTCCTTCAGGGCTTGAAGTCTGCCACTGACGATCTTGTTTTGGGGGTTGGGGTTTCTCAGCCAACATCCGCTTTTCAGGCTCGGGCCTGCCAAGCCGTATCTGTTTCTCGTAAGGCTTTTGGGCTCGTCAGCCGCGATCTTCCTTCCGGCCGGTTTGAATATCAAGGTATAGAGTCTTCTTTTCAGAGGTTGAGGTTGGCAACACTTAACATTTGGGGCTTGTCACCCACGATCTTTGTTTGGTGTTTGTAAGTTCTCTGAGGTTTTGTGGCTTACACACCATCTTCCTTAGGGGTGAGGTTTTTGCCAAGCAGCATCCGGTTTGCGGTGTGCCAACGGGTTTGTCAACCAGTATCTTCCTGTTCAGGTTTGAGGCTTGTCGCCCGCTGTTTTCTTTGAGGAATGGGGCTTGCCCCCCCCATATCTCCTTTTTCGGGTTGTGGTTGCCAAGCAATATCTTTTTGTTTGGGCTTCCCCGTATAAGGTTTGGGGTTTGCCAACCAGCATTTTTTCTTCTTTTAGGTTAGACGGTTAGACCCAGCCGCCCACGAGCTTCGCTTATTTTCCTCAATCGCTCCCGACGTTTCGCTTCCGAATATTTCCGAATCGGTCCCTCTGCGTCTTCGAATGCATTTTCCGAATCGGTCCGCATCCGGGCTTGCAGCAGGGATTCGATGAGTGGCGCCGAGATCACGCTGACCGCAGTCGTCGCTTGGATCTCCTCGCGCTCGAATCTCAGATTCTGCCGAAGCACCTTTGCTGTGAGCTTTGCTTCCCTCACGATCCAGGGTACAGCATTTAAAAGATGGTTATGATGACGACGACGACGACGGTGATGATGATGGTGGTAGTGACCATGATAAACGGTAATGCTAGTGTTCGATGATTAAAGTGTCGATAGTGTGGATTGCCTGGTGCCGATGCCAGCTATGACGGTGGACGCTTGACATATTCTGCTTGTCGAGGTATTGCATGTTCAGGATTCGTGGATGCGTCTGATCCTGACCTGCAAGGCCACTGCTGATGTCGCACAACATCAGTGTTTGCTTCTCAGTTTGTTGACGAAAAGTGTTCCGCAGAGCATATGTCTGTTGACATCTTTCTGTGTCACAAACGACCCTGTGCGCCTGGAACCAGGCTGCAGTGTGCGTGGCGTTGGATTTTCTGCAGCAGAATCGAGTAGAAGATGCTTTCCCAAATGTGTAAGTAGAGGAATGTCGCATGCAGCACGCCTTGGAGTGTCGGTTCATCTGTTGCTTGCAAGTCAGGTATACAGACTTGATTTTGGACAGAACGAGGCTACGAGGGTGGAAGTCTGCAGACAGAGCGGCATCATTGTTGCCATGCCACAAGACCTGAGTCAATCTGGCCCTGTGCAGTGTCCGCCGGATGTCCTGCGAAGTATCTCTGCGGGCTACTCCGGCTACTTCTTCGTCCATCCCCATGCCAGGCCACGCTGCCGCTTATCTGCTCTCGCTTGTTCCATGCCGTGATCGCCACCCTCAAGCAAAGCAAGGAAGGTTAGTAGCAGCTTAGCATGCTAGCCGCTAACCGCTAACCCACACTGATGTAAACAGGCTGCCAGTCTGCCAGGTGCCACCACCATGTCAACAGCTCCTTCAAAGCTTCATTAACATCTTAATGGCACAGCTGGGGCTGCCGGCTGCTCCGCGTAGCGCGCCGGGTCCGAAGATGGCCGAGCGAGCCGAAGGCGAAGGCCACGAGGCGCCCGACGTGCGACGTGATGCTCTAAACCGAGAGTGGCCTGAGTCTCTGAGTCTTGCTTTCTTCGGAGGGAATATAAGGCCATGCCCGGCCCGGCCAACCGATATTGACGGAATGCTTGACATGTGCCGGTAGAGCGACCATCTTATTGGCAGGCGATGTCTGCAACGAAGGTGAGCATGCTTCTTTGCAATTTCTAGCTGTCATGGAATCTTGCATTCTGACATTGGATGCAATATGTGGGCTTGCTGTCGGATTTGCTGTCCAGTGCATCGAACGAGACAGGTCCGAAAGGCCAGGACTAAACTCTGCCGCGCAAGCGTAAGGTCCTCTGCTCAGCTAAGAAGCTCTGTCTGTAGGCCGATCCTCCAACGCCTGAGGAGGCCCAGTGACCCAAGTGCAGGTTGAGTGCGATTGAAGTGGAACCGCCTACAGGTTGGCTTTTCAAGCCCATGCAGTGCCGTGTCTTCCATTGTCCTCCACCCCCGACAACCACCGAGTGACACCGCTGTGTTGCTGGAGTGGTGCCGAGGTAAACTTCGCGACCACACGAGCTGGTAAACGTTCTATTGATGCACCTGCGGCCCTGCGGCAAGGAGGTGGAACAAGTCGATATTGTTGTACGCGGGGTGCATGGAGAACAGGCGCGGTTCCCGGAATGAGACTTGTTACTCACAAGTTCCGTAGCGCTGTGGGGCAAGTTTCGGGGACCGGACCAGGTGGCCCTGCTGCAGCTGCCAGCGGCAAAGGCGACCATCATGGATGCCAAGGACACCGGAGCTTTGCTGCCTTTGCGGCAGCGAGTGTAGTAATACTATACGCAGTGTGACAACAACTGTAAAAACATGCAAGGGGGTTTCAGTAGACCTCTCGATACACAAGAAAGCGTACAGAGACGACACTGCTTACCATGCACGGCCGGTTCTAGAAGGAGAGCTGTATAATATGTCTTCTGCTTGTGTGAGGTGGCTTTGAGCTCTCTTCTGCTGGTGCCTCTCTACACGTGGCTCGATCTTTATGAGTCTATGCGAGTGCGGCTTTTCCAGCATTTCAATTTTGGCCGCATTTTCCCAAGGCAGCAGCTGTTGCTATCATGCAGCGAAGATGTGCCGGGAGACCACGAAGAGCTTGCCCTCCTGAAAGGCCACTCGTGGGGCAAAACGCAGAATCTGATTCGGGCTGTTGAACAGAACACCCCAGGGCGCCACCAGGGAGAAGACCCACCTTTTTCCGAGTTCACTTTGCCATAGGAAAACTCATGACGTCCGGGTTGGGGGATGAGGTTTGTAATTCATGCTGTGATCACCTAGAGGAGCGATCACACATACCTAGCCGAAGCGCTTGGGGGATGCAAGATTTTACCTCGGCTCTCGGGTTATGCCATCAAGGGCTGGCAGAGACTCGTTCGTCGTTGAAGAGGCCATGCCGCAGACCAGAGAGGCCGTTGGCCTCAGTGCCAAGCCGCACGAAGAAAAGGCCATTGCATCCAAAACGCCCAGCGTCCCGAGTATGCCCGGGCTTTTCCTCCCCATATGGACTGTGTGCTGCAGGAGTCCGTCACCCCCACAAGGGCCCTCCTTTGGCTTTTCTTCTCTGCGCTCTGGTCTGTTCTTGCCGCACGAGTTTGGTTTAGGCACGACGGCTCAACTGGGCCAAGGAAATGGCGGAGGCATCCAGCGGAAAGCTTGAATGTCGCACGTGCATCCAGGCGCTCCCAATCTTCCAAAGGGGGCTCTCGTGGGACACGCCGCCCAGTGGTTCCGCCCGAAGTCCCCACCATACAGCACTGTGCTGCCAGGGCTCCGAAGGCGCTGAGAAAGGCTCGGACACGCTGAGCGGATGCGGACACGCGGCGGCCTACGTGGGGCGGAATTCGCATCGCGGACGTTCGGGCTTCCGACTGCTGAGCATGCGTGCGGGCAAGTGTACTGTCTGCCGGGCTTGAACAGCTCAATCAAACTAGCTCAGCGAACTTTCCTTGGCCGGCTCAACCTGATGTCTGCACACTCCTGGCAACGGCCGTGGTGAGCTCGCCCGCCCGCTCGACCTTGCATTCGTCGAATCCACATCCGTTCCGCCGCCACAGGGTCCGTGTGCCGCCGTGTGCCCACCACAGAACCTTCCTGCCGACGAAGACGGGTATCTGGATCTTCACTGGATGTGATCCACACGCTTTCCGAACATTGGTCCGTCTGCACGATGCCATCACCAGCTTCGTCCGAGGTTTCTTTGCGGAGGTAGGAACAAACACGTAGTTCAAGCATCCTGTCCTGCGGGGAGCGAGGGCATTCAGATCCTGGCGGAAGCCTTCGCAGAAGACTGACCCTGACCACTGACTACCCGAATCTCGTGGCGGGGGCCTTCGATTTGCAGCTCGCTGAAATTGTCTTCCATTCGCAGCGGTGCTGTCCAAGTCGGACGCTGGCCTAGCGCTTGAATTCAAAAGAGGTGAAACAGACGGCAGCTTATGGCGAGAGAATTCGGGATGCCTGTGCAACAAAGCCGCACTCTCTAGCCATGTCGTTTTTCGGCCCCAGCCCGCGGACATCTCTGCAGGATACGCTGTTCGGACGAGACCTGAATTCCTCGGCAGCCGTAGCGGTGACACGGCACGTGCCTTTCAGCCAACAGGCATAGACGCCGCATGGAGAGTCAGGTGCCCGAGGACAGGCAGGGGAGGATCCGGGCCGTTACTCAACTCGACCTCGACCTACAAGACCCTTTCTGCCGACGCATTGTAGGGCTCGTCTTCTTCCTGTGTCCCAGCCTCCAGTTGCGCTAGGGTCGCTGCTTTCGCCTGACGTCTCTACCCTCCAGTTATGACCCGTGCCCGTCCGTCAACGGGATCCTAAACTCCCTACTTGTCTACCGTACAGTAATTTGGTGCTGCCCGGAACCATACTGGGGTGGGCGTGTCGGACAGGCGCCACCAGATGTCGCCAGACTATGTACGCGGGCCAACACCAGTTTTCGAGGGTCGTATCCGCGGCCATGCGAAAAGAATATGCTACGGCGACAAACGGTATGCAGCACTTGTGCAGCATTATGCAATTTTACAAGTTTGTCATAAACACAAAATCTTTTTGACTGGTCCCAGTTGCGGCATTGCTTTGGCAGGTGCTGACATGCCCTTCTTGGAGCTCTGCTACGTCCGCCTCGCATTTGACGAGGCGGAGTCGGCGAAATTACTCGTCCATGCCGAGGCCTTAGCCGAAGGTCAGGAGTCCAGCTTAAGCCGCTGTTACTTTGATACAGTGTGACAACGTCACAACGTCATGTGACTCCCGTGTCAAGCCGGTCCGAGGCGTGGCGAGGTGAAGCGTCGGAGGTGGAGAGCCTCCGGCTCGCTTGCTGCACTGTGATGCCACTAGTTTCGGATGCACCACATGGGCTTGGGCTGTTCCCTGCTACCGAATGGCAGGCAGTGCCTGATCGCACGAGCGTGTCCAGATCATCGAAGCGAGGAGGATTCGCTTCTAACAGAACATAACAAAGCCAACAGCACGGAAGAGAGAGGATAGAACCGCAGAGAATTTCAGAGAGAGCCCTCGCTTTCTCTGCTTTACTCCATGCACAAGGATGGCCGGACGGCCTTGCTCTCCGCGGCGCTCCAAGGTCACATCGAGGCGCAGTGGCCGGCAGGGCACTGCTGAGATCGTTGAGCTGAAGTGTGCTGAAGTGCGGAGGTAGCAAAGCAGCTGTGCCGGGCTGGCCGGGATCTTTCTCATATGCCTTCTCATACAATCTCAGACACAGACCATTACAGCCAAGGCGCCATCGTTGATCCAGAAGAAACCGATGGCGCTTCGCCAATGCTCCATTGTCAGCAGCAGCGCTTTGTTGATTCGAGCACACGGTCAAAGCTTTGTCTTTGACGCATCATGTCGAGAGTTGCTGCCTCACGTTGTCTTCTAGTCTTCATCACCCTGTCTTCCAAGCTTCCTCTGTCTTGTGTATTCTCTGCCGCCTCAGGCTTGCAGCGGCCATGCAGGGCAGACTGGAGGTGCTTGCGCTTTCCACTTGTCAGTAGAACTCTTGCTTCGTAATCCAGCAACGTGCTGCAATCCATTCTGCGAAGTTCTTGGCCCCTCTTGCCGCGTTTACGGTCGTCGACCGTTGATTTGTGCACGTGTGCTCAGGCAGGTGATTTGGCTGCACGTAGGTGAACGTGCACCCACATGTTATGCGAAGGCAAAACGCAGGCAGAAACGACCACAAGCGAAGATAAGACATAGATGTTCAGCGACACGCAGGCACTCGGACGTTTGCATTCTGCTGTCGGTGCTTATCATTCTCCGCAACCTACTGCTAGCCGGATTCGGCCCGCTATGACGAATCCACTCGCTCATGATGGTTGTAACATTGCTTTTTTGCTTGCCATTGATCTTGCATCTTGCAGTTGCAGGAGGGATGAATAGTCATGGCTTGAGGGATACAGGACGGTCTTCAGTGTCCGATTGCACAGAGATGCAGAAACGCTCCAACTCAGCATGCAACACCTGCACAGAGACAGCCCGGTGGTCGAATACGACACGAGCTGTCGCTGGAAAATTTCCTGGGAAGGTTGGCATGGGCGGGTAGAAAACAAAACAGTCGGGGGAGGTCGCCAACCTATCAGCTTCGCGACTTCCTTGCGCGTGTGTGGAAGCTGCAATTTCTTCGTGAGAGGGAGAACACCGTGTTTCCGTGCAACGGGAGCATCTCCAACTCGTGCTAGAACTTACC